TCTCCCTGCAGGGCTTGTTTCCTCCCCTCAGGGAAATTCACCCTGTCCTGCCTCAACCTTATCTCACAGAAGAACATCTGCAGAGCTGCAGCTCTTTTCCTGTTTCCTGGACCTGCAAACCTGAGGACTTTTCTCATCCCTGGCTCTTTATCTCTATCTTTCTGTGTCCCTTTCCTTTTCTATTTTATCTATTTTATTGAAGATAAAATAATATAATTATTTTATATATAACTATATAATTAATTATATATAACTATATATAATATAATATAAACATGGTATGTATAATATAAACATGGTATCTTAAAATACACTTCCTGTTATTCATTCTGTTCAGTTTTACATGACACTACTTCTAAAGCTTAACCTATGAAAAAGTCCGCATGCCTGCTAGAGGGATGTTCTGTGCCCATTGAACTCAGGACCTAGCACAGTGTCCAGATAATTTGGGCTTCAACAAATACCTTTATGTTTATAGTTGTGTGTTTGTGCTCTTAAAATCGTTACTTCCAATGTGAAATTTTATTTTAACAGAAGAAAATTGGTCCAATTGAGAATGCACAGGATTGCCAAGCAATGGTTTGGTTGAAATAAGTACAAAGTATTCCATTTAAATGCAAAAGTATACAGTGGAATATTCATATATTTTAACAGAAAATCTATATTATAATGAAACATGCTATTGAGCAGTAAAATTAATATAGTTATTTTGTCAACAAATAAAAGATAACTTTAAAATCTAAAATCATAGCCCAGTCTACCACCTCAGAAATATCATCTACTAAAAACACAAGAAAACAATTGAAACGTTGAAAAAAATTATAACAGAACTGAAAAAAACCTATTAAATTTATGAAGTTTCCTTTTTTTTAAAATTACCTTCATGGAGTGGAAATTGATATACAAACAGTGTTTTTACTACATACAATTTGATGAGTGGATGCCGCACATGCTGTTTTCTATTCTGAGATAGTAGGTCAGGTGCAGCCACAAGAAGAGACATAGGAGAGGCTCAGGACAACAAAGTTTATTTCACAACAAATCTTAGGGATATGGTCACATTCTGTGAGGGGGCTGTGGGAGGGGGCAGGTAACAATGAGGGGAGTAAACCCAGCAGTTTGGAAGCAGAGAAAGGGAGAGGACTCATGACTTTATTGGGGTGAAACACACAAGTAAAAGGCACAAGGAAATTTCTGCTTTTGAATGTCACTAAGTCATAGTCAGAGGAGGGTAAGCAGGAAACTTGTGACAGAAACCAGCCTTGTCACACTTGTGCACGTAGCCACCTGGGTGAAGTGTTCTCAGCCTGCTTGCAACAATGTTGAGGCCACAGGAAAAACTGAAGTGTAAAAATTTACAACACATATACAAACACCTGTGAAACTACCACCACAATCAAGGCAATACTCATACTCATCGCTTTCAAAAGTTTTCTCCTGCCATTTCGTTTTTTTATTGTTTACATTATGTTCGTGTGTGATAAAAATCTAAGTGAGTTCTACACTCAAATCTAAGTGAGCACAGTATTTTAAATATAAGCCCCGTGTTTTAGCAGATCTCTGGAATTTATTAATCTTGCCAACTGTGAAGGTCTCTTTAACTGAAAAACAAATGTGAAATGAGATGCAGTTGTTTTTGGTAGACTTGGGAAAACATTTTAATGTCAAGAAGAAATAAACAAGCAAAGAAAATAACTTTAAATATTTAAATTTTAGCAATTCTCTTTAAGATTTTGTTACTGAGAAAATATTCAGAAAGACATAGATAAGACTTACAGTAATTTACATGCATTTGAATTCCAGTCCTAGGCAAATGGAAAGATAATTAAACTGTAGTTAGGGTCATATTGATGTCACACACGGATGTGTGTCCTGTTCCCTGTCACGCTCAAAGTGTGACTGAGCACCCTTCCTCTAGGTCTGCCCCACCCCACCATCAGAGGGTCACACCCATGCCTGCCACCAGCCCACAGATGACACATCCTTGTCTTCATTATTTCCAGGGCAATTCCATGTGATAGGACCGAGGTCGCCGGTCATCGCTGTGGTTGAGGAAGAGATTGTGCTGCCCTGTCAGCTCAGCCCTCCAAGGGACGCTGGAGACATGGAGGTGAGGTGGTACCGAGCCCACTCCCCGGGTCTGGTGCATCGTTACCCAAGCCCCCAGGACCCCGCGGAGCCGCAAAGGCAGGATTACCGAGCAAGGGCAGAGGTCCTGCTGGAGAACGCCACCCGTGGGCTCGTGTCCCTGAGGGTCCGTCCTGTCCACGCTTCCGACGGCGGGGAGTACACGTGTTTCTTTGAGAGTCCCACCTACTACAACGAAGCAAAATTCGAGGTGTTGGTCACAGGTGAGCCTCTGCAATGAAACTCTCAATCTGTATTCTTTTTCGGTCCAGTCAGCAACCAATAGTGTAGGAACAGCTGCAGGGCGCAGATGGTGGTTGGGCTTACACAGACACCACGCTGGGCTACAAAACTGTCGCAGAGGCGAGACTCGCCTGACGAGCTTCCTTCAGCTCCTGCAGATTATAGAAGAAATATATTCACATCTGTTTTCTTTGTCAACACAATTGCTTAAAGAGAGGAGAGAGCAGGGATTCTAGGGTGCCTCCTTTCTGAAGTCCTGAAACATGCCTCCGTCTACCTTCCAAAGCCAAAGGGGCTGCACCTGAGAGGGAGGCATCTGACCAGCCCACCCCAGGCCTGGGACTCAGCGCCGGGACCCTGATCGCGCCACACTCCTCATTACCCAGTCAAAAGTGGTCTACTCACTCTTGTTAAGGCATCTTGCTTTACTCAGACCGTTGTGCAAGTCTGTTCTCTTAGGTCCCGCCCAGCTCAGACATTTTCCCCAGAAAAATTCCCCTTGCCAGTGTGAATGGGTAAAAAAGGTTTTAGTTCCAGTCATACATGAGCCCAAATCAGCCCTTTTTCTACAAACATCAGAGGGCCTTGTGCCAAGCTCAGGTGATGAGTTTCTGTATCACCTCCCCTTATAATCTATCAGAGGGAGTCCAGTAACATTCGCCTCTCAAAGAGAGAAAAAACTTAAATACTCCCTCCCCTTCAGTGACAGTCTGGATATGCCCCAGGTAACTGTTGGACTCACATTTATATAAGTAAGAAACTTACATGATTCTTCATCAATTAAAGGAGGCTACTGCAAAGAGACTTGTTTGCAAGTTTTAAACAACTTTTTTGCCAATTTTTTGCTAGCCAGATGCTTTGGTTCATACAATTCCCTAATAAAATTTCTGCCATCATGAAGAGCATACATACCTCCCTCTAAGAGTCATTTCCGAGTTCGTAACAAAAGTTGCTTCTTTTAGCCAGCTCCCTACTGCAAGTGTCTACTGTATGCAAATGAGTGCCGCCCCTGCAGGAGGCATTTACCCAGGCACTGCCAGAGCTACAAGAGTGAGCCCTGCTGTTGTCATCCTTCATTAAGTCTCACCTCTGGACAAGGATCCAGACTTTACTGTGGTGACTTCTGAGACAATCTAGGAGTCAAACATACACTAGAACATGTCCCAAACCCTGAGTAAACACTTATCAATGGCTTTCAATTTGAAAGCCAGCTGCTACCGTTGCTTTCTAATCGAGCAATATATCATTTCTCTGGATCGTCTTGTTTATCTTTACCCCAGATGCCTTTGTTCTTTGCACAAATTCTACTGCTAAATAAAGTGTTAGAATACCAATTTTCCACTGCTATTCCTCTTTATCCTCTGAACCTGCATTTTCAGTTTAAAATTTATTGGCACTAAATTGAAGCGTTGTGGCTATAGCTGTTTGTTCTGAGCTCCAACAATGGTTGACATGTTCAAGAATCTTCTTTACAATCTCCTATGTCCCAGCAGGTGAGGTTTCCAGACATATCACTTCCATGACTTCTCCAAGTCAGAGAGGCAAGAGAAGTTGTGTTTGCCACCCAAGCACAAAAATACTCACATTTTAAAAAATATAACTAAGAAAAAGTCTCTGACAAACTTCTTAATTTGTGCTGTGGACATATACTACAACAATGCCTGTGAATTTCACTCACCTTTTTATTAAGCCAAATAGAGCCCACCACACCCAAAGAAGTTTGGATCACTTTCTCATGTTGCCTAAGAGCAGTAAAATACCCTGGATTTGATACTCCAAGTAGTACAATATTTGCAGATGCAATTTTTCAGTGCACCCATGGGATGAATTCAGATCTATGGACTGAGATGTACTTCTGAATATTTAGGCAAATTCTATTACCCCATGGCCCATGAGAGTATGTTTGTGTATAAATACTGAAATAATACGTAATCCAGTTTTTATTCCAAAAGAAAGATTTCTGTGCTCTCTAACTTCAGGGGTTTGTACTTTGCATGTTCTTTTTGCCATGTTTTTGTTGTTGTTGTTGGTGGTGGTGGTGGTGGTGGTGGATTTTTTTGTTTGTTTGTTTGTTTTTACGTGAGAACCATCTCATTTTGGTATGTTATCCTCCATTATTACATATAAGAAAAATAAAGTTCTGTGCTGATTCAGTGCTCTTACCTTGTCCAGGTGAACATTTTCCATTACCTTGGGTTGTTCTTCCTGAGACAGATCCACTTGTACCTGTCACCCACACATACTGTTCAACATCAAAGATTCTCATTTGTGCCAGTCTTGGCAAATGACAGTTCCTCTTTGATTCTCTCTACTAGGAGACCTCAGGTTTTTCTTTGATTTTCATGGTAGTGTGGTTTCATGCATGCATTTCTTTAATGCACCCCTTCATCCTGGAGCAGTGGTTTGGCCCAGGGTAAGTAAGCAGTTCCCACTGGATATATAGTCCCTGCAGGTAGTTATCCCTAGATTCCCATCTATCTCCAGAAAAAATTTAATCCACACCTAAAACCAAGTATACCCAGCTCACTTCCTGTGATGTTTAAATATCCAGAGAGTGTGGGTAATAAAAGTTCTACTGTGTGTAGACCTGTAGTGAATTCTGAGTTACTTTCTGCTTAAAGTCACCACACACCACTGTCCTATACATCTAACTAGTTTATCACTAGTAGGTGACAAGTAAGCAAATCCATGCACCAACAACTGCAACATTTTTGTTTGCAGCAAACAAAAATGTATTGCTGCAAACTTAACCAAAATAATTTCTAACATATCAATAGAATATGAAGGCTTGAAAATCAATAACATAATTAGAAATGCTCATTATACTAGTGAAAATTATAAGTTCCTTCTTCCCACTGTGATCATAAGAGAGTAAAAATACTAAACTCTCTCAAAATTGATAGAATAAAAAATTGATCAAATTCAGCTTTGCTATGGCAGGAACCACCCAGGCCTCAAATGAGCAGATGACAACTCTCAGGAGTGGGAGAACCAAAGAAACCTGGCTTTTCTCTGGTACTGGCATTTTTCTTCCTTGACCATTGGCATCATAAATCAAATTAGAAAATTGGTGACCTAGACAACATTTAGAATACTCTTTCCAAGCTTCTTAAATTATGACTACCACCCCCCACCCCCGTTGCCCTTCCTATTCTGTAAGTGATGCTGGAATCAGCTACTATAAGTACCTATTTGCAAGATTTGCTTACCTTAAGCCCACACATTTAGTAAGGGAAACAGAACTGTATGATTCAAAGGGCAACTTTACTGTTTTGTTCCCCCCAAATCTGACACCTTAATTAAACATTTATTATGTTTTAACAAATTCCTGTTAAATATAATGACTTTACAAAAAACTTATACATAATCACATTTTTCCTCAAATTTTAGGATATCCAGATCTAATATACAATTTTTTTCAAATGAAAATATCCCAAAAGACAAATGTAAACCATCTTTTCTTTTAATTTTGACCGATTAACATTTTATTTACTAACTTTTTATGTCTTTTTTTGTGGTCATAACTTTCTTCTTTTTTTCAATTAGAGTTGACATTCAATATTATTTTATATTAGTTTCAGGGGTACAGCATGGTGGTTAGACATTTATCTAATTTATGAAGTTATCCCCCTGACGAGTCTAGTACCATTTGATTCCATACATAGTTATTACAATATTATTGACTATATCCTCTATGCTTTACTTTATATTCCATGACTCTTTTGTAACTACCAATTTGTACTTCTTAATCCCTTCACCTGTCTTACCCAGGCCCCAAAACCCCTGCCCACATGGAAATAATCAGTCTGTATTCTGTGCATATGAATCTGTTTCTGTTTTGTTTGTTTTATTCTTTAGATTCCATATATGGTATTTATCTTTCCCTGTCTGACTTATTTCACTTAGCATAATACCTTTCAGGTTCATCCAAGTTGTTGCAAACGATAAGATTCCATTCTGTTTTATGACTGAGTAATATCCCATTGTATATAGGTATCACGGCTTCTTTATCCAATTGTCTGTTGATGGGCACTTAGATTCTTCTATGTCTTGGCTGCTGTAAATAATGCTGCAATGAACATAGAGGTGAATATAGTTTTTTGAATTAGTGTTTTGAATTACTTTGAATCAATACCCACAAGAAAATTGCTGAGTCATAAAATATTTATATATTTTTTTATTTTTTTGAATATTTGTTAGCCAATATATTTTAAAATTAGTTTTCTTTTTAAAATTAATTAATTAATTTGGGGGTGACATTAACAAAATCCAATAAGTTTCAAGTGTACAATTCAATAGTACATAGTATATACACTGCATTGTTTTTATTCCTCATTTAATTGCCCACTGTTCCAATGTTATTTTTGAAAGTCATATATATATATATATATATATATTGTATTATGCGTTCACCACCCATAATTAGATTTCTTTCCATCAACACATATTTGACCTATTAATGCCTATCTACCTCCCTGCTTTTCCCCTTCCCTCTGGTAATCACTAGTCCACTCTCCATGTCTACCAGTCTCTGTTTGTCATGTTTGTTTGTTGCTTTTAGATTAATATCCCACATATACACGATATCATGTGGTTTTCAATTTTTTTCTGTTTGGCTTATTTCACTTAGCATGGTTATTTCAAGATCTGTCCATGTTGTTGCAAATTAAAGTATTTCAACTCTCCTTATAGCTGAGTAATATTCCATTGTATATATGTGCCACATCTCCTTTATCCAGTCACCTATTGTAGAACACTTCAGTTGCTACCATGTCCCAGACACCATGACTAATGCTACTATGAACATCATTGTGCATATATCTTTTTGGATAAATGTTTTCAAGTTTTGGGGGTAAATACCCAGTAGAGGGATTACTGGATCAAATGGTAGATCAATTATTAGTTTTCTGAGAAACCTCCATACTATTTTCCACAGTGGCTGTACCAACTTACATTCCCAATAGCAATGTTTGAGGGTTCC